TTGTATAAGGCCTAAGAAGTGGAAAACCGCAATTCTGAGCCATCCACTTGCCTACAGGGGACCCAAATTTGGTTTCAACGCTCTATCTCTCATAGTTTCCGAGATAATCGCGAAAAACGAAAATGCAAAAAAAAATTAATTTAATTCATCTTGTATAAGGCCTAGGAAGTGGAAAAACGCAATCCTGATGTATAAAAATACAACTGCGTGAAACACACAATTGATAGAGAATTCCAAAGCACTAGAGAGGATTTTTTCATATTGAACGCTTTTTTCTAATTTTAAAATGACATTTGATTTCTGCAAGTTGGAGCGCTCGGCCAGCGGATATTGTAGATTGAAGATAATTAAACCAAAGTCTAGTATTTTCCACAGATTACTTTTCATGGACTTTTTAAAATTATCATCATTTCTTGAGGATAGATAAATTGGGATAAATTGGGTCTCATTTTGAAGGCTTAAAAAATAGCTTCGAAAGAAAAAACAAATTGTTGAATTTTACTCTGCAGTTCTTGAGTTATTGAAAACGGCGCATTTAACCCTCCTCTAAAATTAGAAAATGTCAATCTTCAATTGGAGGAATTAATTAGGAGAACACTCCAAAACACTAAAAGGGAATTTTTGAATTTTTTTTTTTCACTTTGAAGATTTTTTTACAGCTTTACAATGACATTTGATTTACGCAAGTTGGACTATTTAATCAAGAGGTATTGTAGATTGAAGATGAAAACATGATGAAAACAAAGCCCATGATTTTCGGTAGATTAGTTGTCAATAGTTGAAGGTCAATCACTCGAATCTCTGAATTTATTCACAATAAAGGTGAGCGAAAGATAAAAAATCTATGGGCCGAGAGTTTCATCACTGTTTTCGATGGATAATAATAATATTACTCACTGCGGGTGTCCACACGAAGCAACAATAATAAATATTATTGACAGTAATTGATGAATAAAACGAGAAAATGTCAAGTTGACGAAGAACCAGTTGTATTACTGTGGGATTGAATTATTAATAACTTGAGAACGGCTGAGTGAATTTTTCTGATTTTTTTTTCATTTTGAAGCTGAAAAAAATACCTTCAACATGAGACGTGATACGATCACATCGGATCATCTGGTCGGGAGGTATCGATTATTGCAGATCGTTCATTCTACCACATTCTCCTTTAATTGACCATTGAAATTACGAAATGAAAGGCGATTTATTATTATTATCAACTAATTAATTAAATATCATTACATTTAAACAATTTTTTATTCAGTGATTTGCATGGCGTTTTTATTTTTGGTTCAATTGCGTTGAACGTAAATAATTGCGCGTCACATCTGTGAGACGAGAAGATGAATAGTCGGGTTTATTACCCCTGGGGTCGGGTTTTCGGGGAATTTGAGACTGTGTACCTGATTTTTGGTGGAAGGGGGGACTTGTGAACAGGGGGGGTCGTTAGTGGGGGAGGGGATGTGTCATGCTGCAATTCAGGGGGGAGGGGAATGTGTGGAACCGTTGGGGCAGGGGAGGGTGCCATGTGTTCAGTTGAAGTTTCACATGCTTCAGTTGAAGATTTATAATTTTGTATTTATCTCAGAGAGGAGTGATCTGGGGAGAAAAGTCTCGAGACATTTTTTATTCCTGATGAAATTTCCTGGAATAATGTCTACTCACATTTTCCCCTAAAATCACTGATTACCGCGATAATAATCGAAGAATTAAAAATTTTTAAAGTAAATTCCTGTCAGAATCAACTCCAAAATTTATATTAAATCAGTAGTGAAGCGGTGAACCGGGTCAAGTCCATTTTGACTGTTGGCCAGTTTTTGCGAATATCTCAGGATCTAAAAGAGATAGGAAATTTTTTGTTATTACCTTTTTTGTAGAGCCAATTGATGGTTATAAAAAAGGTCCTGAGAAAAATTGTGCTATCTCTCTTAGATTCCGAGATATTCATCAAAAACTGGCGAAAAGTCAAAATCGACTTGACCCGGTTTACCGCTTCGCTACTGAAATGTGAATTCATCTGATAAATGGTTTTACAAAAAAATAGTACACCCAGAAAAATGTTTTTAATGTTTTTTAATCAAACAGAAATCTTTATTTGAAATTTTTCATTTATTTCACTAATATTGTTATTACAAATGAATAAACTTGTTTACCTGCTTCAAGAAAAAGGATTTAATTAGATTAAACAACCAATTTTTTTAATTTCAAATAAATGATTTTTTTAAATCAAGTAAATATTTATTTAATTCAATGAAACAATTCAATTGATTCAAATAAAAGTTTTTTCTTAATCTAAGAAAACATTTCTTAATGTTCATCTGACATAAATGAAGAATTTATTTGGATCCAATAAAGATTTATTAATAGTAAAAAAAACACTTATGTAATATGAACAAAACTGGGAGTAAAATTTCTTATTTAATTTGAAAAAAAATACTATTCAACTTTATTAATCTTCATTTGAATCAAATAAATTATTTTTCTCGGTGTACAGCTAGTTACCATTTTTTTCAATAGCTGGGGAATATTATAAACATCAATCCTAAGAAAAACCTGTTTTCTAGGGATATTATACCTTAACATTTTCTCCTAAATTCTTTTTCAAAAAGTCCCAATCTTTCCTCAGACATTCGTTGACCCTCACTTTCCCCCCCCCCTTTCCCCCTCTTCGATCAATCTCTCGGTCATTGCCGTCATGAATAATTTATTGACCCGATTAAAAACAACAAATTACCATATGATTTTGCGGTCGTAATCCCAATTATCTCCCAAATAAAAATAAGTTTCATCCACTTATAAATTCGAATTTATGGTCAAAAAATTTATCTCTTCGGTGCTTAGTCACTCGATGATTCTGGCAACAATAGCCACAAAGCACCTCGTTGTTGAGCGTCACATGATACAGTTATCAGTGTAATTATGCCGGGAGGATAAATGCGGCGCTCTTTCCTTTCAACGCGACCGATTGTTGATTGATATAGAAAGAGTCACTCAAGTGGCCGTGTTTTTATGTCTCGTGCAAAGATTAAAGAAAATTATAATACCCGGATAATTTTTACGGCATTGTGAAGAATAGTATTGGTGGGAGCCGTTGATTGTGGGAATTGAATGGGCCATCAGTTCTCTTCATTGGATTGTGCTCCCGAATGGAAGCTTTGTAATCACTCAAATTTGAGTTTCCAATTTTTTGTGATAGAGTGACTAAATATCGTCTTAAAATATCGTCTTTTTCTTCATGTTTTTTCGAAATTTTCTTATAAGAGATCAATCGAATGTCATAATTTTTTTCGTGAATATAGACTTCAATTAGCTCTACACACTGACAAGAATTAAACCTCAATTTTTCATACAGATTCGAAGAAATTTATATTTTTCCAATAATCGATTCTTCAACGATCACTCAAAAATTGTCATCAAAATGGAACTAGTCATGGCTCAAAAAATTGATAACTATACCCTCTTGTTTCTATCAGAATATGATGGGGGTCGCACAATTCGTTGTTGAGTTACAGCGCATTGTTTATGCGATTTGAAAGAGAAAATCGGTTTTTTCATGATTACTGAAAGAATCATCAGTAATAGCAATTAAATCAGGGCTTGAAAAGTATATTTCAATGGCTTCTTAATCAAGTTGAAAAATGGTGAGAACAGCATCATTGCTTATCAAGTTACACGATACCGTCATGAGCTTTTTATATAAAAATCTCTATCTCTATTAAACTCAGGTACCAGTCTATTATGTTGAATACTTATCCATATTGATTCTTGGTCCCGACTAACTTCTCACAGAACCTGGGTTAAACTCTGGCTAAATCCTGAATAAGCCCTGATTAAATCCCGGCTATACACTGATTAAACCTTGATTGAAGCTTGATTAAACCCGGGCTGAAAACGAATTCGAGTCTTGAGAGGGTCTGAATGTAGAATTATTTGACAGAACGAAACAATACGCAAAATTTTGATGACATTTCAATTGATGATGGTATTATGACGTGAAAAAATAGAAAGAGAGAATTGTGAAATGAGAATTCAAAAAAGAGAACCCATTCGGAAGCAAATTGCTAATTTATTAGCAACAATAACTAAACTATTTACGCCGAAAATGCAATTGTCCACTTGTTTCAGAATGAATTCAGTTTTCTTTGGGGAATGCAATATTTGGGGTTTATTTGGGTGATAAATTTCAACTGATTTTTGTTATTCGTGGGGGATATTGCTGATAACGTAATCTAATGTTCCTTTTATCGAATCAGCTGGTGACAGTCCGTGCCACAGACAACAGATTTGAAAGTAGTGTAAATATAACTCAATTTTGAAGATTAAAATCGGAAATTAATTCTAAACGGAAGTTAATATAAATAGAAACATTCTAGTTAAGTTTGTGATTAATTTAGAAGAGTCAAAATATTGAAATGTCTTCATATATTTTTTTCCTCATAAAATTCCCTTTGATATTTTCATCTAGATAATAACAATCGTATTAAGAAAATAAAATAAAATAAATAACAATCAATCAGTGAAGTATCCAACTAGAGTATTTTCAAATTCTGATTCGACACTTTTCATAAACTCGAATTCATCTCGGATTCTTGACGTCACCTCGCATCTCTAGTCAGAAGAATCATATTTTTCTCTCAGTGTAGGTGACATAGAAAAACTCATTTACGGAAGCTTCAGTATAATTTGCTGTTTATTTGTAGAACATTCTTGCAACATCACGAGTTCTTGAAAAACTGCATTGGCCAGCGAATAACAGATACACGATATTTCCTTTGTTGCAACTGCATATGGCACACGACACTCATCTGTCCAAAGATCGCGATGACTAATCGCCTCTGGCATGATTATCCCGAATCGCTCTTTAACAAACACACCCCAGAGCTCGGTAATTCCGAAACATTTAACCGCAATCATTTGCACAAAATAAATACAGAAACCGTTGGTAATAACGCATTATCATGCCCCATTCTGACAGACTATTACGAAGATAAAAATTCTGCAGATAAGTGTGAAGGACGAAAAAAAAACAGAACAAGAAAACACAGTTCTTCACTACTCCAAACGAAGAATACCAAGAATAAATAAATAACTGATGCAGTAAAAAAAGCGTGGAATCATCGGAATTTTTTCCTCCTCTTCACAAATGTCTTCAGGGAATTGATAATGTCCCGTGAAACTAGACCCAGGGAAATGCTCTTTTAATTCCGTGGATCAATTACGATTTAGCCGTCATAAATCTCAGCTGTGAGACATTTTGAGACAGTATCACCTTTCAGTCTCTCCTCGGTATTAACCGGCTTATTACTCCCCCCGTGGTTGACTGCTGATGCAACCCAACGAGTTCAGATGACTCACGGGGATTATTATATTATGCATATCAGTCAACTGCAGAGTCTTCCTGTTCTGTTATCCCTCAGAGCGAAAAATGAGTGGGAAATTTCTTTCGTTAGAATATGGTCAGTACATTTTTGCTGATAAATTAGCAATTTGCTTCCGGATTTAATTTTTGCGTATTCGAACTCCGTTTGCTTGGGCATGGAAGCTTTGTAATCGTTCAAATTGTTCTCAAAAGACTAGAACCCATCAAAATTATACACGAATTTATTAAAGCAAACAAGATTAAAATCTAAAACACGATATGTCTATTGTACACAGAGAATGTGAACTAAATCAAGCAAAATATGTAACATCCACCTGAGATTGTAAATAACCCATTAAAGGTTAATACATAAATATATAATTAAAAAAAAATCGTTCGTTAGTTCGAAAACGGCACAACGTTGTCTCTTAATCATTTTCCAAAACAAACTATAAAGATAAACAAAGACTTGAAGTATTGTAGAAAAAAAATTGCAGTTATTTAAAAAATATTTCAAGCCAAAGGTCTTCGGAATAGATTGAAATTTTGAAGTTGAAAACTCGTTTTTTTGTTTAGCGATTGGTTTTCTGCGAGAGAACAATAGATTCTCCTCCATCTCACCTCCTACATGCCCACCTCGTCATAAACACCTCAAAAGTCTGAACTTGTCTCCAGCTTTCGCTGAATGTCTCGAACTTTACGGAGAAAAAGAAACGAAACAAACAGTCATTAATGATCTATTGCAGGTGAATGTCTTGAACGACTCTCATCAGCAGCTGATGGTCCACTGGGTAGGCGAGAAATCCGACGTGATAATCTGCCTAGCCAGGGACAGCTCATCAACAGCACGATCCCCAACTAATAAAGCAGCTGGTCCATCCAATCCAAGTGCTGTTTACATCAGCTACAACTACGGTGATTCGTTCGAGAATAAAACCGAATTCTTCAAGATTGAGGCTGAACATGCTGGCGAGGGATCTGGTGCGTCGTACGCCACACTTGATAAATTCTACAACCATCCGAAATTCAATCAATACGTAAGCAAAACCAGCAGACATCTTTCATATTCCATAATCAGGGGAGAATGTCATTCTCATGATTCATCTACACATTTCAATAATATCTTTATCTGCAATTTCCCGGAACTTTCCCTCATCCGAAAATAAAACCAGCCGAAAAACAAGTGGTGATAAAGTTCTCCTCTACAATAATACTCTGATAAAGCTCTAATAATGAAGTGTTGAAATGAGCTAGTTGCATCTAACATCTTCTAATCTAAATGAGATTTCCAATTCCAAAAAAGGGTTACGAAAATTTTCTTCTGTTCCTTAAGAATATCCAAGTACTTTGGCTATTTTTTCTCCAGTGAAATGCTTTTTTACATTTGCGTTTGACCCTAATATTCTGGAAATTTTACAATGATTTTATGACTTAAACTTTACTGGTCTAAATTTGAATATCGATATTGAACCGTTAGAAAACATTTTAATAATTTGAACAAAAAACTTACAAAAAAAAAATTAAAATAAAAGTAAAGTTAGTTATTAGTTTACTTTTGGAGGAAGATTTATGGAATAATTTAAAAATTGCATTCGGAACTTTACCTGAAATTGATTTCATGCCTAAAAAAATAAGGTTACCGAAAGTTTAAATTATTTAACTATAAACAATGAATGTTTAAAAAATAATAATTTGGTGAAAAATATAATTTGAATGAGGCTGAATATTCATGATTTAAAAAAAAAATTGTTCACGCAAGTGAATTGACAAATTTGATAATTGAAAATGGCGGAATCCACACGGTTAAAAATTGTTGTCTGAAATTTCCGGCACACCTTTTGGAAATCTTTATCGAATTTAATTACCAAGGAAATTTCAAGGAATTTCGTCACTGAAAATTCAGAATTTCGTGGAAAAATCAAAGGAGCTGTAAATTTCAGTTCCATTTTTCTCTGAGAATGAATAAAAAACCAGAAAATTCCGGCCAATTTTTCCAGTGGGAAAAAATCGATAAATTTCAGATTTCACTGAAAATTCTCTGTAATTTGGCACTGAACATTCGCATTAAATTGAAAATTCAAATAAATTAAGGAATTCTCGTCTTTGTGGTGCTTAAACTTCCGAATTTTTACTGAATGTTTTCCCCTAAATCTCATTCAGTGTCACTGTCCCAAAAATTAGTAGTCAGCTGTCCATGAAATTTCATTTTTTTTCTAACAGCATGTAGTGTGGTCTGTACCAAACTGTAAAAGTTACTTGGATATCCTTAACAGCATTTTCAATTTTTCAGATTTCAATTTTTTCTCGAATGTCTTCCCACAAAGACCCTTTTCATAGTTTTCCCATGCCCCTATAATCACGATTACCGCACCAATTTGTCATGAAATCTTCCCTTCCAGTGCATCTTCGCGGACTCCACGAACAAAGTAATCTTCGTAACCGCCGACAACGGCAAGAACATAACCCGCGTAAACCTCCCATTCCACCCAAGCGAGATATCCTTCTACGACAAAGACCCCTCAATCGTCCTAGCGCTCGACAAAATCGACCCCGAGCGCCATCTCTGGATGACCCGCGACATGGGCAAAAACTGGTTCATAATTCACGAGTACGTAAAGGCCTTCTTCTGGTCCTCCCTGCGTCCCGACAGTGTTCTGATAGAGCGCGCCGAGCCCTTCGGCAAAAACACAGTCGTCGACGTGAACCTATCCTCCTCAACGCAGGGTCAACGCGACTCAAAGTTCATAATCGAAAACGTTCTGGACTTTGAGATAAGGGGCGATTACATGTTTGCGACAAAATCCGCAGTCCACCAGAGCGGTAACAAAACCTCGGAAGACCTAGAGTTCTTCGTTTCGTACAAGGGCGACCCCTTCATCGCGGCTAAATTCAATACCGAGTTAGACCGACGAGACTACCACATAGCGGACGTCTCCAATAACCGCGTATTCGTCGCCGTCTCGCACTCGTCAACTCAATCCAATCTTTACGTGTCGGAGGGCGTGGGTAAGTCGATGTCGACATTCTACCTCTCCCTCGAGGGAGTCCTCGCTTTCTTTCCGAACACAACCTGGCAGTCAACCTGGTTGAACGATGTGGCGGACGAAGCCTTCACAGACTTGTACAAGGTTGAAGGTTTGAAAGGTATCTACATAGCGTCTCAAGTAAAAGAAACTCCGAAGAGTGCGATTGGCCCCGAATACCTAGTCTCTTTGATAACATTCGATCACGGCGCGACCTGGAACAAGATCAAACCCCCAACAGTCAGTCACGAGGGCTTCTACATCCACTGCCCCAACAACTGCTCCCTCCACCTCAGCCAGAGGTTCAGCCAACTGTACCCGGTCACCAGATCGGCCTCGATAATGAGCTCGAAATCGGCGCCGGGTATCATAATGGCGACTGGGGTAATGGGGAATTCCCTCAAGGGTCACCCAGCCCTCTATGTCTCTCGCGATGCTGGCCTCAGCTGGAAGCAAGTCCTCAAGGACTACTACTTCTTCAACATGGGAGATCACGGTGGTGTTCTTGTTGCTGTCAAGTACTTCAAGTCTAGAGGGGAAACCCGTGACATTCTGTACTCCACAGACGAGGGCCGAACCTGGCAGACCTACAAGTTCAACCAGGATATGCTGAGGGTCTACGGTCTGATGACTGAGCCCGGGGAGAACACAACGGTCTTCACGATGTTCGGTTCCACCCCAGGACAGCACAAGTGGCTCATCATAAAGGTCGATCTGAGTAAGGTTTTCGATCGAAAGTGCACGAAGGATGACTTCAAGATGTGGACGCCTAGCAGCTCAGACCAGCCCGGGATGTCCTGCATCCTAGGGAAGAAGGAGACCTTCGCCAGACGAGCGCTGACAGCCAACTGCTACACCGGAGTTGACTACGACCGACCTATTCAGGTCCAAGTCTGCCCGTGCGACTCTATAGACTACACATGTGCTTTCGGATTCGTTAGAACGGGGAATCCCCTTCAATGTGTTCGGGATCCATTGAAAAAGTGGTACGATCCGTACGCAATTCCCATCACGTGTGAGCCAGGAAAGTTTTACAATAGAACCAAGGGATACAAGAAGATCAGCGATGACGAGTGTGTAGGGGGAAACGCCAGGAAGTACGAGCCGGACGAGATTCCTTGTCCGATCGACGAAGTTTCGGAGTTTCTGCTGGTGGCCCAGCGCGAGACCATCGCGAGAATTGACTTGAGGACGGAGAAACGAGAGATCCTTCCTGTTCACGATCTGAAGAATGTGATTGCTATAGAATTCGACATGAAGAACAACTGCCTCTACTGGGCGGACATCGTCAACGACACGATAGGGCGTCAGTGTTTCAAGGATGGTAAGAGCTACCCGGAGATTCTAGTCGAGACAGACCTGAGCTCCATCGAGGGAATGGCTTACGACTGGGTGTCCAAGGTCTTGTACTTCGTCGACGGCGTCAAGATGAGAATTCAGATTATCAGAACGGACTTGCGGACAGCGGGGAGGATGCGACGGACGATTCTGGGGCCGAACAATCTGCAGAAGCCGAGGGGCATCGCTGTTCATCCGATGATGGGGTACATGTTCTGGACGGATTGGACGCCGGGCAATGCTTCGGTGTCGCGGGCCAACTTGGACGGGAGTAATGTCAAGAGGCTGTTTACGAAGCCAACGGTCGAGTGGCCGAATGGCATCACCATCGATCACATTGCGGAGAGGATCTACTGGGTTGACGCCAGGGAGGATTACATCGCTTCCTCGGATTACGATGGCAAGCGCTTCAAGAAAATCGTCACCGACGACGACAAGGTGTCTCATCCCTTCGCTGTTGCTGTGTTCAAGGACACGATGTACTGGGACGACTGGAAGCAGTCGATGATATTCATGGCTGACAAGGAACACGGATTGGGGATAAGCTCGAAGTTGGGAACGCTGACGGGGCTGATGGATCTGAAGGTGTTTGCTCACAGTGTTCAGAGTGGAACCAACAAGTGCGAGAACAGCACGTGCTCTCACATTTGTCTAGGAGCGCCAAATGACAATTTCGTGTGCCTGTGTCCTGATGGAATGGAGATGGTGGGCGGAAAGTGCATGTGTCCTGGTGGCATCGCTCCTTACGACAACTCCACGTGTCCCAAGGTGGCTAGCACCTGCGCGGCGAATCAGTTCGCTTGCAGCAATGGGGTCTGCATTCCGGAGTCCTGGAAGTGCGACGATGATAACGACTGTGGGGATAACTCGGATGAGGAGTCTTGCAACAAGAGAACTTGCGAGCCCAACAAATTTGAATGCGACGATGGCAAGTGCATCTCGAACTACTGGGTCTGCGATCTGGATAGGGACTGCAAGGATGGGAAGGATGAGATGAACTGCACTTACGCCGAGTGCACGAATTCACAGTTCACTTGTGATAATGGAAAGTGTATTGCTTCCAGGTGAGTGGAGGAGATTTGGTTTCACCAGTTATCAATTGGACGATATTTCAAATACGACACATGAGCTAGGTTTTAAACAGCTAGTTGCGGACAAAAAATTGACAATATACGGGAGAGTGTAATAATCGTAACAAAGTTATTCATATTCAGAATTTTATCAGAAATTGATTTCACGCACAAAAAAAAAGGGTTTCCGAAAGTTATTCACGAATGTGAAAAACTTTCGGAATGAACGAATTTCGAATTAATTTTTCGGAGAAAATGGGAATATTCAAGAATATTCCCATTTTTTTTTTATTTTTCTCCCGCAACTTAATTGACAAATTTGATGATTGACAATGGTTGAATCTACCGTGCTGTCTTTACCAAACTATAAAAGATACTTAGATATCCCTAAATAGTACAATCACTAAATTAATATTTTTAAATAGTAATAATATATAACAATAATAATCTATACTAATATATACAATAGTAATAATACATATATTATTTTTAATTAGTAATTTAATGGTAATAATTAATACCTAACTATTACTATTTAAAAATTTACTAATCCCATAATAGTAACAATTAATAATTAACAAATTTTTGGGAAACCATAAATATTTAATTTAGCAATTCTACCCCATTCACTAAACCTTATAAACAATCCCAGATGGCGTTGCGATGGTGAGAACGACTGCAAAGACAATTCCGATGAGCAGAATTGCACCACCTCCGTTCCCTCGAGCACCTGCAAGTCCGACGAGATAGCCTGCGCTTCGTCCAACAACTCCTGCATATCCCGTGCTTGGCGGTGTGACGGTGAAAAAGACTGCGCTGACGGCTCAGACGAGAAGGACTGCGCTGGAAAGGAGTGCGAGGATTTTCAATTCACCTGCGACTACAGCCCAGACTCCCACCTGTGCATCTACAGTTCGTGGGTGTGCGATGGTGAGAAGGACTGCGCCGACGGCAGCGACGAGCTCAACTGCACAGTCCCAGTGATTCCACCACCGGATCCCACAGATCTCTGTCACGAGTGGATGTACATGTGCAATAACAAGAAGTGTGTACCTTACTGGTGGAAATGCGACGGTGTCAATGACTGCGGTGATCAGTCGGATGAATTTGGCTGTGGCCACACGGACTTCCCTGAGTGGCCCATAACCACCGAGGCCCCCAAGCTCCCCACACTCTGCAGGGAGCACCAGTTCCAGTGCTACGATAAGAAGTGCGTGGATGACTCGTGGGTTTGCGATGGCACTCCTGATTGTAAATTCGGGGAGGATGAACTGCACTGCCAAGGGACACACGTGGGATGCCAGAGGGATCAGTTCATGTGCAGGATGGATGGCTCTTGCATACCACTTGCCAATATATGCAATGGGGTCGAGGATTGTCCGGATCAATCGGATGAATTAGGTTTGTAAGACTATTTCAGTTTTTATTCTTACGAAATCGAATTTGGCAATTTGTTACATTTTATATGATTCATCGTTATTATTGTAAGTTGATTGGAATAAATTTGTTCTTTCAACTATATGAATTTCTATAGGAGAAATATTGCTAAGGGGAAATTCGTGGAAAGCGATGAAAAGTTCTATTGAAAATCCATGATTTTTTTTATTGCAAAGAGATGGAAATTTCCATCGGGAATCAATAGGAGATACGGCGAAAGCTATGAAAATTTGCGGTGGAAAGCGATGGATTTTTTATAGAAATCTATGGAAACTTGTGTTAAAAGTTCTTGAAAAATTTGTCCACATCCATGAAAACTTCAGTTGATAATCAATACATGATCCGTTGGAAATCACCAATATCAACGTCATTAGCACAATTAGTAACACCAATATTATCAGCAAAATCAGTATCATCATCGTCATGCATGTGATTTCTCTTTCATACATTTAGGAATAAACGTGTGACATCTCCTTTTTATATAAGAGATTAGGGGGGATTGTGCATTCATTGGGAGATTTACTCGGTGGTGAGATCAACAGTTTTTGGGAATCAGGTGACAGCCAATTGAATTATTATTCCAACCGCCTGCATTGATTTATAATGACTTAAGCACTAAATTTCTCTTTGACAACATTTTGAGTGGTAAATCCAATCCTCATCCAGGAAATTTCCTCCTAGCTATTTGAGAATTTTTATTGAAAAAACTACACGTCTTGAGGGAATGCCAGATCACAATATTTGACGATTTTATTTCAGTTACGTTTTCGAAAGTATGAAAAAATTTAACAGAAAAACCTTGCGAATTCGCAAAACAATTCTATTGAATTTCTATTGAACTTTTTATTATTCATCTGGCGATTTTATTGAAATGTCAATAGAATTCAATTTTTCCTCACACTTTGTTCTATTGAGTTATTTTCTATTGAATATTTCAATAGAATCTGCAAAAAGTAGAAAAGAATTGTCTAGTAAATTTCCTAGGTTTTATTATTATTATTATTATTATTCATATAATATAATTGTGTATTAGTATTAATAATATCATTATAATTCCTATCTCCACAGGTTGTAACGAAAGTCAACACCCCAGTCCCGCTGCCACTCCCTCCTGTCACGCTGGCTTCTTCCCCTGCGACGAGACAAGATGCCTGCCCTCATCGTCCTACTGCAACGGCAAACAGGACTGCTTCGACGGTTTCGACGAGACCAACTGCGAGAAGAACAACACTCGCGTCTACCAGGTAATGACACTGGGTGTCGACGAGCCAGCCACCAATTCCACAAGCCTCCTCCTCTTCTGGTTGATGCCCATACCCATAAACATCACATTCGAGTTCCTCCCCTCGATCTCCAAGGCAGAGCCTGGCGCCAAATGGAAAAATGCCACCAACTGGATCCTGGAAACTGATTACAGATTCAATGATCTCGAGCCTTACACCCCCTACAATCTCACAGTTTACGTGAGACTGAAGGGTCAGTCCACAGTGTTTCCCACATTCAAGTACTGGGTGGTGAAAACAGCGGAGGGCACTCCCTCGGAGCCCTGGAATGTCACAGCAGTTCAGAGGAATGGAACGAGAGTTGAGGTCTCATGGAAGCCGCCTCTCCATCCAAACGGTCCTATCACCAGTTATGAGGTGCACGTGTCACCCCCAGGTCTCCATTTCTCCGTCCAAAAATCCACATCTCACGTCATCGATATACCATTTACAGCTGGTGAAACTTACTCCTTCTGGGTGGTGGCGAAAAATCGTGATCACGACTCCAACTCGTCGACTGTTTTCAAGCTGACATTCGATGGCTCAGCGAATATAGACGACATCAGGGGTCTCAGGATCATCGAGACAACCAATAATTCAGCTCACCTCGCCTGGGACAAACTCACTGGTGTCGATGGCTACCACGTCACCCCTCGCGCCCCTCTGCCATACCCAATGCTGAAGACATTTTCAACTCTCAATAATGACTTTGTGGTGCCAAATTTGGCGCCTGGGGTGCAGTACATATTCGAGGTGAATGCCATGAAGAAGACGTATATTGGGAAAATTGTGCAGATCAGTGGAACGACGAAGGGGACACCTCTGCCGACGCTCACTGAGTTTGTGACGGTACCCAAGAAGTCGGATGGTACCACTGCCAAGATCAGCTGGGATCCTCCCAAGACTGGGAGAAAGGTCAAGTGGCAGTATGCTGTGCATTATGCCCTGAATATGCAGGATTTGTTCAAGGAGCCGAAACTCGTGACGAGCAATCTTACGACTTCGATCAAGGATCTCGAGGCCTGTGAGTCGTACGTCTTTGCAGTGGGGTTGTACGGCCCCTACGGTGCTGGGCCACTGTCTCCACCGATGAATGTTCCCACTTACTACAATGCTAAGGCACCTCCAAAGAACCTTCGTGTGACAGCCTCCAGCAAACCAGACACGATTATCGTCTCGTGGAGCGCCAGCTGTTCAATGCTCGATGAGCCAGTCAACTACACAATTACTGTCAGTGATCTAATGATGAATAAGACAACAGTGGTGACACTTCCAGCCACCAATGAGACTGTTATCAAGCACACTTTCAGGTCAATCAAGCATGGGGGAATGTACAGAATTAGTGTTGCCACTGATGTCAATGATGCCAAGCCCAGTCAGCCTGTTGTCTACGTAGCTCCACCCATTCCTTCGCCCCATCAGCTCCACGTTATGCCCGACGATGGCAAGTACATCGTCTACTGGCAGGAGAGGGAACTACCGGAGACACTGGAGAATAACACTCAGTATCATTATGAGGTACTTGTCAGCGAGGACTCGCGCACTGTCAATGAGTCCGGTGCCAAAGTTTACAAGTGTAAGCAGCCACCGTTTATCTACAAGGATGCCAAGCCCAGTGTCATTTATTCGTTCGCTGTCAAGCTGGTCACTGACGAGGGCTACAGCAGCTTGCTGAGCGAAACGCAGAGCATTAAAACTCCTTCTGGTGAGTACTTGTTTTTTGGGGGCTTTTTGTTTTTTGGAAATTATAAGATTATTATTAAGTAACAAAAAACAAACAATTACAAAACAATGGTTTTGTTTTGTTTTTTTGATTATTGATTATTTTTTTACATTTTTAATTTGTGGTTTGGATTTTTCGTATGTAAATTTGTTTTCGATTGCTCGATAATGAGTCGATTATTCGATTTTCATTTGAGTCCTGTTTGATCCCAAGTTTCAGGACATTCTACGATAATTTCATTATTTAGAGTTTGTAAAAAAAATTATAAAGTTTACTTGTGGAGGACGATTGAGAACATCATTTTAAAAGTGCAATTTTTGAAAACTACGAGCATTTTTTATAAATAATTTATAAACAATCAATTTCCCACCATAAAAATCATTTATCCATAGTCAGAATTTTACCAGGAATCGATTTAATATGTAAACAAATATGTTTTCCGAAAGTTTAAACAATTTTAATTATTTATTTATAAACAATGTATTTTGTAAAAAAATCATAATTCTGTGCAAAATGGATTTTGAATGACACTGAATATTCATGATTTTTTTCAAATGTTCCTCACCCAATTTAATTACCAAATTTGATGATTGTAAATGGTTGATGAAATCTACCTGAAAAAGTATCTAATGAAATACTTGTTTTCATTTAGTTCATTGCAAAAAAATTACATAATAATAGAACCGTTTTCCACCCCGTAGGGAAGAAAACGTATATTTTAGGTCTTGCCGAGGCTTGACCCTTCGGAGATTACCTTACGTATCCTACGCATGTGTGTGTGCCCAGAACTACCTAAAATCTTCAGCGAGACATCTATAGGGGGAGAAGGGTACTTCTAACCGAGTTTCAAGTGCCGGGTAGAGCGGGTGACGCCGCTATTCCTCAGTACTTTCTCCGAAAAATGAAGAATTGGAAATTCTTCATTTCCTTAATGACGGCAAGGCCTTACTCGGGTCAAGCCTCGGCAAGACCTAAAATATATGTTTTCTTCCCTACGGGGTGGAAAACGGTTCTATTTTATGTCTGTGCCTTCGGCTTGACCCTTCGGAGAGATGTTTGTTATCTGCCGGCACTTGAAAGTGTACTGTGATTGGAGATGTAATTTAAAATCTTTTATTCTTCAAAGAATAGAAAGACCATGAATTGAACAAAATGACAAAGTGACAGAAAATTTCAAACTGGTGAAAAGTTATGAATAAGAGGATTCTTTGGATCCGAGGCACTGGATTTCTCTACTTTCTTGCAATAATGCTTGTAAAAGTTGGTTGCTCCTCTCCAGTTGCCCCTCTTCAGGAGGACATCCATAGCCATCTCGTTCTCGAAGTTGTGGGAAGCCACTGCCGACCTGATTGAGCCAGGGCTCGCGTCGATTCCGGCTTCTTTGAAAGCTGAGGCAATCCAACCAGCAATGATAGTCCTCGACGCAGGTCCAACTTTGCCCCTAGTAGTAATAAACAGGTTTGCCAGGTTCTGACGAGCTTTGCGTCTGTCGTGTGATGACGAAATGAGTAACTTGACCCAAGCCACTAGATCAAAAGTTGGGTTGTCTGAGCTCGTGAGCTTCCAACCCGACTGACGAATATTGGATTTATCGGTCTTTGAACCGAACTCTGGCCAGAGAATTATCTCGTTATCCTCTATGATGCAATTATCCGGGTTAATTGAGAGGAGGGTTAGATCATGGATCCTCCTCCCAGATGCCAAGAGAAGCTGGACAGCCGTGAACCGAGAAATTTGGAAGATACTGCTGGTCTCAGGGGGATGTGAAGACATCCAATCCGTTAGGGAGACCACGTTCCAGATGATCGTCTTGGGAGGTTTTGATTTTCTGGCCTTCTGTGTGGCAATTCCTTTCAACACGGATTTGACCAGTGGATCAGCGCTCAGGTCTGTCTTTCCATCAGGGTTATTCAGGGAGCAGATTACTGACTTCTGAGTCAGAATCGAGCTGTAGGCCAGGTTCTTCTCGTTGAACAAAAAGGTGAGATATCCAACTAGGTGGTGGGCATTGGGGCTATCTGAGGGGACGTTGTTTGCCCCGCACCAGGATCGCCACTGTCTCCACACTGACGTGTAAGTTTTCCAGGAGGAGTCTCTCCAGGCTGAACCCAAGAGGGCGACTTCTGCTTCTGACAAGCCTCTCAGCCTTTTACCCCACCCCGTACCCTCCAGACCTCTAAAACTAGGTCCTTGGCATTCTGGGGAGGAAGACCTGTCGTTAGGTCCACCAGATTTTCCTCTAGGTTCCAGAGTTGGAATGGGGCTGTGAGACTCCTGTTCTTTAGGTCCCCTCTCCAAAATGTCTTCTCCCATCTCGGAGCCACAATCAGAAAAATCCCTTTTGCTGTGTTCAAATGTTGGAGTACTTTTGGCAGAAGTGGGGGAGGAGGGAACACCCAGGCCAGATTCACGCTCCAGGTCCTGCTGAAAGCATTGATGAAGAGGGCTTCGTGGTCGTTCGCCTCCATCGAGACGTATGTCGGAACTACACGAGACCGGGATGTTGAGAAGAGGTCGATCTCTGGGGTGCCCCACTTCTCGAAAACTTTCTTCAGGATCTGGGGGCTCAGGTGCCAATCCGGAAGAGGGAGATTTCTGGAGAGTCTGTCCGCTACCGTGTTGAAAACTCCCGGAAGGAAGAATGGTACCAGACGGATCTGGAATTGGTCCAAGAGAAGCAGGAGATCCCTGACTAGCATCAAGAGAGTTTGGGATCGTGTACCTCCCTGATTCCTGATGTAGGCTAGAGTTGTTTTGTTGTCCGCCTGAAGCAGAACTGATTTGCCTCGCAGGTGGTTCTTGAAGGACTGAACTGCTAGCAGAACAGTGAACAGTTCCTTCCGATTGATGTGCCAGTTTATTTGGTCTTCTGTCCACAACCCCGCTCGGTGAATGTGGTCCAGCTGAAAGCCCCAGCCCGACTGTGAGGCGTCTGTCGAGAGGAAGATGTCGGGATCGAGATGAAATATCTGACAGGTCTGATTTATATTCTCTTTCCACCATAGACAGTCCTGCTGGGCTAGGTGGAGGAATGGGAACCTCTTCGTTGGGGAGGATTTTGATAAGCGACGAGTTCCTCGTTGGAGTTGACGTGAGAAGAGACGACCCAGGGGTGTGACGAACGCTGCAAAGTTCAACATCCCCAGAAGGGAGCTTGCTATTTTCCAATTCCAAGACCCTAATTTTAACAATTTTTCTATCAGGTGTAGAATTCGAGACTTCTTGTCCTCGGGGAGAGACATCTGGTTGAGGTTGGTATCCCAAATGATTCCCAGGTACTCGATTCGTTGGGAAGGGGAGGTTATAGATTTCTTGGTATTTACCACCCAGCCTAGGGAGTTGAAGAGGTCTATAACCCGGAGCACCTGACTTTGGAGGATGTTGGAGTCCTGATGAGCTAGCAGGAAGTCGTCTAGATAGACTATTACCCTGATCCCTTCCTGGCGAAGGATGCTCGCCATCCAGTTGCTGACTCTGGCGAAGGCTATAGGGGCAGTTGATAAGCCGAAAGGCAGGCAGGTCATATTGTATAATTGATTCTCGTAGGAGAGGCAGAGGTATCTGCGATGAGTCATTTTTATTGGAACGTGGAGGTAGGCCTGAGAGAGATCCAGTTTGCACAGAAAGTCGTTCTTCTGGAGAAACAGAGGGACTTTGCGATGATTTAAGAGGCGAAATTTTGGAGGATGAAGATAATTGTTCAGCTGATGCAAATTGAAGATTTGACGAAATTTGCCGTTGTCCTTTGGGAGGAGAAACATTGGGGATATGAAGCCTGATTCCCATCTTGCTTTTTCCAGCACTCCTTGACGAAGCATTGACTTGATCTCTAATGACATCTGGGGTGTCACTTTTGTGGCATATTTTGTGATATTCAAATCGGTGAGTGGAACAGTTGGAGGGGTTTTTATGAAAGGAATCGAGTACCCTTCTAGAATTTTTAGGATGTAATCTGGAGCTCCCAAGTTTGTCCATTGAGGGATAAAATGCCCCAGTTGTCCTCCGTGGAATCGATAGTCATGTTCTACGAGAAGTGTCTCTCCTGCCTGTGGGAGTAGCTTTCTTGGGGGGATTCCTCGAGGAGCCAGTGTCGCGTTTACGAAAGGGCGCACGAGTAGAGGATCCGAAGGAGTTGTTGGAAGAGAGCTTGGACGTCTGGGCTGGTTGACGAGGTTGATAGGAGCCCTTGTTGTTGAACTGCCCTTTGGGGCGAGAAAAATTGCCTTCCTTGGGTTGAAAGGGCTTTCTTTCCTTAATAAAAACTTTCTGGACTCCACCCTGACTGTTCAAGAAGTCGGAGAAGGGTTTCTCGTCAAACAAGTGGGATTCCGAAGGAGGAATTTCTGCTAGCATAGCTGAGTGGTGTGGATTTAATGCACGGAAGTAGCCTCTTCTTAAGTCGATAATCTCTGATCTGCGGGCACAGGTAAAGTGAAGCAGATCGTCTGAAACTGATTTTAGAGAGTCCTCGCCCAAGAAAGATTGTCTGATATCTTCTTCCATTTGAGGGTATTTTGATATCAAAGATTTAACCCCTATCGATAATTTCCTTCTTTGCAAAAGTAGGCCGTGGGTGATGGTACCCGTCGTCGAGTCCGACGTGGTCAGAATTGAGTGGCCGAAGGACTTTGGTGCGATGGAGGCCAGTTGACTATTTATCTTGAGGGCGTCGAAGACTGGGGAGGCCTGCAGCTTCTTCTGGACTTCCTTATATCTTAATTTGTTCCAAGAGGAGGAGCCCAATTTTTGACAGCTGATACCCTGAGCTTTCAGTTCTGGGTCAGGTTCGGGGATCAGGGGATCACATTCCCTTACAGTTGGCGTTAGGGAGAGATCCAAATCCAACAGATCCGAATGTTTAGAAAGTGGACAGCGAAAATCAACAGGGCCTGGGTTGAATTCTGATTCTTCTGAACTGGAGTAATCTCTGTCTGAGAAGTCCTCAGTGTGATGAGAATGATGTTTATTCTCCTTCATTTCGTTGATCTGATCCGATAGGGATTGGAACATTAAGTTCATCTGGTTTTGAAGATCCTCAAGCCGAGGTCTTTTGGCCTCCGAGTCATCCATGGAGTCAGATTCTCGTTTCGAAGGGGTCTCGACCTCATTCTCAGACTCTATCCCAGCTTCACTCTTCAGAATTTGATCAGCAATCTTGCGAGGGGTGAAGAGATCGATCACAGGTTGAAGAAAAGTACGAAAAGCTCGAGATTTGTCTGGGGAACCTCGAATTTTGTCTGCCACTCCAGGAGGGCTTATAATTAGGGCTCTACAGAAGGGCCAGCATAACATCGCCAACTTATGAGTCTTGTGTGCGTCCACATCCAGACTCGAGGCATTAGGATTGAATGCTCGGGCAATGCCAACTGTAGGAAGGGCGAACTTCAATTTGCTCAAGTCCTGATGGTTAATTTTGTCCTCGCATCCGAAGAGGTCCAAGTTGGAGAGGTTAACAGCCTCGAATTTTTGCCAACCCTCAGGGAGGGAGGACAAAGCCAACTCTTTGAGATTATCCAGAATCGAGTCATCTGCCGCCGTCTCTGCTGCCTCATCTAGCAACTCCTCAAGAGTGACTGAGGGAGTGTTAGTCATCTGTAAAGTACAAGGCATAGAGTGAGCAACGGAGAAATGAACCAGTGCCCGAAGGAGGGAATGGTGGTTCGAAAGACATGAATGTGTGCTCGAGAGGAATGTCTGCGAGCAGAGGTTATGGATTTGACAGCAGTTCGGAATCCTGCCCATACGTTGATTGTGTGCTTGAGGCGGTGCACGAGAGCAGGAAGCAACCTTGGTTAGGTTGAAGGCCAAGGAGGGCCCTGTGGACTTTTCAGAAAGTCGGGACCGTAAAATTGGTCAACGTAATTTTGTGCTCGAGAGGATGTCTGCGAGCTAAACCATGTTTAGGTTGAGGACCAGGGTGCAACCCGTGGCCTCTGAATGACTATCAGGCTCGAGATTTTGTCTGCGAGCAGTCATGTAAAGGTCAAAATGGCGGCTGACGCCTTGCCTTGATGACGCCGGTATTGAGTCCTGAATAACTCCAAAACTGTACTCAATCTCCTGAAACAAATAAAAGGGAAGGGACAAAGGGAGTTCTACTTACCTTTGTACCTTAAGTTCTTGAAGAAAATTATGCACTCAAGGTGCAAAATAATATGACGAACGTTACAACAACGTTTGGACACACATACACGCTTTGGAAAACAAAAGCGTACTGAGGAATAGCGGCGTCACCCGCTCTACCCGGCACTTGAAACTCGGTTAGAAGTACCCTTCTCCCCCTATAGATGTCTCGCTGAAGATTTTAGGTAGTTCTGGGCACACACACATGCGTAGGATACGTAAGGTAATCTCCGAAGGGTCAAGCCGAAGGCACAGACATAAAATAATCCGATAAAATTTTCCATCTCCGATTTTTATTCTTTGCTATTTTTTTTTATGTATTATATCAAAATGTGAGGATAGAAATTGAATTAATGGGTATTCTTTCATTATTTGAAAAAATATATCAATTTTAAAACTTTCCGGAGACATTGAAAAATCAAAATTTTTATTTTCTTGTGAATCGATCATCATCCCAACAAAAAGTATCAATACTCTCCTTATAATTCATCATAAATATTTCTCTATTTGAAAATGAGAAAAACTGTTCCCACAATTTGTATACTACAATGAGAATAGAATCCAATAAATTTAATTTAATCTAACCACAAGGAAAAATTGAAAAGAAAACAAAATAAATTAGTATAATATAATATAATCTATATATTCTGATAATCAGAACAAACTTCCTTCAACTAATGAACTATTCCACTTGATTTATTGCCAGGAAAATAAAGCAATTTCTCCTTGAATCACTCATCCCCGAGACAGTTTAAGACCTGAAAAATATGAAATAATGAGAAATTCCTCCATCGCTAATAATCCTTATCAATTGCAGTTGCAACATGGCCAGTGACGATAAACCCCTCGAACATCCTCTCAATCGCCATCCCAGTCTGCCTGCTGATAGTGGCTCTAGGTGCTGGTCTAGCGTATTTCTTCGTGAGACACAGAAGACTGTCGAATAGTTTCACACAATTCGCCAACAGTCATTACGACACGAGACGGGGTCAGGCTACTTTCCCGGGTACAACGGATGCTCTCGGTTTGTAAAAGTTTTTGTTAACATCTCACTCATAATTTTCCCTCATAATTATCATAATTCAGTAACTAGATGGGCTTCATGAAACGAATAGTTCCCACGATTATCGTTAGTTCCTGGATTCAGGCATCTCTGCCTAGGGATGTGGAAATGACCGTTATTTTTTTACACGTAGGATAACAAATTTATGACGGTCATATCACGGTCGTGTGACGTCATTTTTTTTTTGTCATAATTTGAGTAGTTTGAGACAGGAATAGCCAAATTGGTAATATTTAATTACCGTTAAATATTGTAGCCATCAATTAGTTAACATCACTCTTGCATTTTTTGATTACTTGAGAATAATTAGAAACGATTAGCTATTCAATTTTTTTTATTGTCGAAGTCAAATGTTAATGCCATCATAATTTCGTTATGTTCATTGGACGTCTCCCAAAATTTTTCCACACCCCTAATTCTGCCATTACCTTTTTCAGATGAAGAAGACAGTCCTGTGATTCGAGGCTTCTCCGACGATGAGCCACTGGTAATAGCGTAAAGTCATATTGAAAAATAATAAATGAAAATTAAGATATTTCAAACGTATGCAGTAAAATTAAATAAGCATTATTATAACGAAAACGACACTACTACTACTGATTTCTTTTTTGAATCATCGATAGAATTTTCGAAAGTGATCGTTGAGGGGAGAAGGAACAATTTATTACGTAATTAATTATCTTCGTTAAGAGGAAAATTCAGTTTGGGGTGATAAAAACGAAATTGAAAATCATGTCTAGTTTATTTCGTGAATATCTCGAGAACGAGTTGTCCTAGGCAGAAAAGTGTTATGACCTTTTTTGTAGCTGTCAGAAATTCCAACAAAAAATTTCTTCTGACATTTTCTCCTCAAGTCAATAGTTGACGAGATAATCGAGGAATAAGCGGAATACTTTGGGGTTCCCCACTTTTATCACTTTTGTACAGAATCAAGGAAATTCATTTGTATTAAATTAAAGTAATTCTCTTATATTTACGATTCGTTTTCCGTCGAAGGGAGCGTCAAAGAGTCGCTGGTACCCTGTACATATTTCAATCTCTTTATTTCACGACGAGTAATTTTTTTAAATCATTTTTCTTGTCAAATAATAATTCTTGTTAATTCTTGTTTCACTGATGAATATTGTTACATCGAATTTCATTTGAATTGCGATAATTGTATTCTCCGCTTCTGATAATTGTCAGTCCTATAGATTGTCACGAATCAGCCATAACGAAATTTTTTGATTGAAAAAAATATGAAAATAGAGAAATAGAAGAATTGCCGTCCGGATTTTCTTCCATTTGATTTTCTATTTTTCCTCTGATTGTGTCTATTTTATTTTTTAACTGGGTAACGACAAGGTGGGAGGTAGATGGCATTTATTTAAGACTGGAATTGTGCCACAGAAGCGATTTGTCATTGGGTGAAAAAAATAAAATTATTAATATTTTAATTTTTACACCGTAATGACGTAAATTCATTTTATGCTCATAGTTGAAATGAAAAAAGTTCTTCTCGTTTTAAGCACGTGTTTTAATGCACTTTTGTAATGAATTTGATGATGAGATGACGTGTCGATGGAGAATTTCATTCGTTGAATATTTTGTATGTGTTCCTGAGGATTTATTATGCTGATGATGAGAATTTTTAACCTGAAAATATGAAATTTTGAAATGGGAAAACAACTGAAAGTGAGGGGACAGTCGGATTTGGGGCGGGAGAAGTCTTATGTTCTTGCCAGTGCAATAATTCATTGATGAAAATAGTTATTCTGTGGTGAAGTGGAGAAATCAAGTTTTTATTTTTGTTCATACTTCAAATATCTCGGAAACGAGGGGTTCTCGAGGGGAATGTCATCGGACCTTTTTTGCAGCTGATGAAATTTTCTGCGAAAAATGTATCTGGATATTTTCTCCAAGAATCAGTAGTTAACGAGATAATTACACGATTCAGATTCCACTACTGAGCTAATTTTCTATTTTCACTGTTTTACCTCTGATTTTTTTTTGTTGATCAATGATTAAATCCGACTGTCGAAAGTGTGAATGAATTAATTTTATTCCTAGAGTCATCCGGTGAACCGTTTTTAACTGACTGACACGTAATTTTCTTTCGCAATTAGCGATTAAGAAGACATAAAGTTAATTGAGGGAAAACGAAGAGGAGAGAATACGATTGTAGTCGTTACGTGTAAATCTTTGAGGAGTATAATTATAACAGTGATATAATATATTGTGAGTGTAAATAAATGAAGTTGAGGAAAAACAGATGATTGTTTGCGTTCATTGATTTTATTGCCCTGGATTTTTCCTTTTCAAATTAAAGTATATTTAATTGAATATAATTATTTACAAAATAAATTTGAAATTATATTTTTCGAGAATTTTTCTTCAATTAAGCGACCTTGGGAGGAAAAATTTGTATCATGAATTCTTGGACAAAAGGGGATGGCTAAATCTAGAAAATAGTTTGAATTTCTTTTTCTTTTTTTTCTTTTTCTAGGAATTTAATGGAACGAGGTGAAGGTGATTTGAGGAAGATAGATAATTTCAAGAAGAGTGGGTGCCGCCATTTTGTTTCCCCACTCCCTTCGTCGCAAGTAGCTTTAAAAATGGCGGCGTCCCCACCTCGTATTTTCAAACATGTTTTATCATCATTTATCCTTTCCAAATCGCTCTCAACTCACTACATTCGATTTCTGTGAAATGAACAAATTTTTTAAGCCATCTTTCCGACTTCTTCATCCCCTTTTGGCTAAGAATTCATGGCGAAAACGGTACCCCCTCATTCCAACAGTTTTTTTTACTCCCGAGGTCTTGCAATAACCGAGGGAAAGCCTGATCGCTCGACGCAAGCCTCACAATTTTTAAATCCCCATGAAATTGCAGGATCTGTCGCGTCCAAAAATCCTCAAACTCGTGACTCCTCTCCCCTCTCCCATGACACCCACTGAATATTCATGAGTCGATCCACACCGGATGCCTCCGAAAAAAAACACCCGCTAATGTATTCCACAGAAAACACTCCAGAAAAGACAAAAAATTACCGAAATATGTCACAGTGACTCGGTAAAACATAAAAGTGTAATCTGCACATTTGTATCACTGTAACAATGGGTTTCCGTTTGAAAATCTAGCCCCCGTTACAGTAGTTGAGATGACGAGTCTCATTAGCATGGAGGATGATGTTTCTCGTCCGTTATGCAGTCAATCTGAGACTATCCGTGGCAGGGGATTTTTATAAGAGGTGCAGCCTCAATGATCTTCAGTTGAGGACTAAATTTCCGGTCAATTACCCCGGTTTCATGGATTACATTGAGGTCTATTTAAACTCTTGATCTTTGATTTCAATTTTTTATGACATTCTCATTAATTAATTGATCGTTCAATCAAACAATTGATCAATTTATTAATTCAGCAGTTGATTGACTAGCTGATCAATTTTTTCAATCAGAAAAATGATTAAAATAATTGAATTAATCGATTAATGTGTTAATTGATCAATCAATAAATTGAGTAATTGTCTGATTAACCAAATGGAAGGATGAGAATTTCATTTGTAAATTTATTTATTTTTAGCGCTCAAAAATACTTCAATGAATCAATCCTCTGAACGATTGACTATTTCATTATCCAATCAATTAATTAATCGATTTATTGTTTCATCAAATCAAATCAAATAATTGAGGCAGTAGTCAATTTATAATTCGATTACAGATTATTATAACATTTATGAAAATACATCAAACAATCCTTTGATAATTGATTAAATTATCAATCAATCAATCAATTTCGTAATAAATGAATTGATCAATTGATTCAATTTATTAATTTCGCAATTAATGAATTGATCAATTGATTGATTAATCAATTAATCAACTGATTTGTTGTTTGATCAATCAAATTGAATAATTGATCGATCAACTAATGTAGAAATTAAAATCACGTCAATCAATCCATTAGTGATTAATTAATTGATAAACCGCATAATCAATTGATTACTCGATCAATTAAAAAATTAACTGATTGATCGATTGGATACTCCAACGTTTGATAAACAAATCAATTTTTCTAAAAAAAAATACTGGAAACATTTCAATTAATTATTTAATTGATCGATTAATCAATGGACTAATTTACTGTATGATTAATTGTTGCTGATTATAAAATGAAATAAATTTCCACTTGTCAGAGAGAATTGAGAAAAGAGAGATCATCACTACAATAGAATTACCACTCCATAATTTAAAATGTCACTTTAATTAAGTTCATGATAAGAAAAAGAGTATTCATTTCTTACTAACTGAAACACAATGAGATGATGGATGGAGACATTTATTCATTTTTCTGTTGAAAAGAAATGCTCGTTCACTCTCGGGATTTGCCTTCCCTACTCCACTGTCTCAATTCTCGGCTAATCCGTTCAACGACGCAAAAAGCGACCTTCTGAGAAACTCATATGCACGTGCAGATTTACCGTACGTCTAATTGTTACGTGTAATTATTGCAGTGTGAGGCGCGCAAGGAGAATTAACTGTCTGATGCATGGGCACACTCACCCACAACAGAACCGCCGTGATCTTAATAATTTAGGTTTTAGTGCTGAGGAAATCTGAATGTCTCACTGGGGACACGGGAAGATGAATTAATTCCATTCAAAGTCATTTTTGAAATGGGAATAGCACGAGTCGAGTTTTTAGTCACTAGGCAGGACGATCTGTCGCCTCATTTATTGTGGGACGCTGTTCCTTCTTTATTCAAATTTCAGATGTATTTTATTTCATACGCGAAGAAAAAATATACTTGAATTGAGTATTTCAATTCGAAGATGATTCTTTTGTATCAGGCCGGGTTGTAGCAACACGGACGAAAAAATTTAATAGAAAAACCTACACGGAGAGAAATGTTCAGTAAAAATTACGGAACTCTCACTTCACTCACCGATTACGGAATCGACTCAGAAAATTTGATTTGATTTTGACGGTATCGTAATTTTTCACAAGAGCTTCAGATAAAAATTACGGAACGCTCCGGAAAAATGAAGTGACAGTTCCGTAAAGTTTCCTACAACCACATTTCGCAAATAGTCTTTCAATCGAATTTTAATAGAATTCTCATGGAGTTTCAATACAAATTCAATAGAACTTCTATTAAATTTTTTAGTTCGCGAGGAGAAAGTCAGAGAACAGTTTTTAAAGCTAGAGAAAATTACCTCGGAATTTTAAAAACTCGTCTAGTTTCTCTAGGTTGTTTTCGGGTTAAGGAAGATTGATGTTCATATCACCCCCGCCTCTCCGTCCTAATAAACAATCTTCTAAAACGTCATGTCATGTCATTTTGATATGCTTCATCACCGAAATTTTGTGAAGAATTTGATGTTGAGGATGGAAAAATGAGGAAATAGAAAAAAGACAGGTCGACACGGTCCAGTAATTCTCGAAAGGCGGCAAAAAAACCTTTTATTCATCGGTGATTCTCGTGTTCTTCATATATTTCTCTCTCCCTCTCTCCCTCCACTGAACAAACTCCCATACATCGGGAACTAATGGAGAGCAAATAGGTAGGTTTTTTCATTCAAACTGAAATTTCACCATGAATAACCATTAATTTCCTTGAGCTCACAATTAATCACTGCATTCAATCAGCCGTTTTTGTTGCCACATGGTACATTCCAGAGCTGAGTAACACATCACAATGAATAACGAGTCAGTAAATAATATCGCCTCATTTTCTAGAGAAAATGAAAAAACGAAAATGATGAAATGAAAATCAGTAGCGAAGTGGTAAAACGGTTTAAGTCGATTTTGACCATTGGCCAGTTTTCAGTGAATATCTCGGAATCTAAGGAAGGTAGCTAAATTTTTGTCAAAACCTTTTTTGTAGCACTCAATTTTCTCTAGAAAAAAGGTTATTACGAAAATTTCGTTATCTCCTTTCGATTCGGAGATATTCTTCAAAAACTCAAGTAAGAGATAAGTCGACTTAAACCGCTTTACCACTTCGCTACTGAAATGGAAATGATGAATTTTTCGTTATCGAATATTCATAATTTACTGAGCGTTATTAAATTAAAATCATAACAAAATGACCGTCATTTTTTAGATCGCGTCATATGACAAAAAATGATGCTCATGTGACGCTCAAATTCTCTAACTGCAAATGGCGGTCACAAATAATTTGAAAGTATATTGTAGTGAAACCATTTGTATAGATGATGGTCATAATTAACTTCCCGGCAGGGAAGTTATTGTGATGGCCCCGAAAATCAAAAATCGATTTTTCATCAAATCTCCATGTTTCAAGGTCTTCTCGACCACTGTCACTCTTCCTAGACAATTTTAAACAAAATGTCTGTGTGTGTGTATGTGTGTGTGTGTGTGTTACTAGGTATGTACGTGTTCAAAATTTTGGTTAACGATTTCTCGTGAACGAATTGTCCGATTTGACTTTTTTTTTTCAATCGATAGGTTTTCATTCAAGTTAGAGCGGACTAGATTTTGGCTGATATCTGTTTAGTGGTTTTTGAGTTTTCCCGGAAAGAAAATTTCAAAATGACAAAAAAGCAACGAACACAGACAAGGGTTTCTCATGAACAAATAAACAGAGTATTGAGAGTTGAAAACGATTCTTTTAGTCAAAATGGGAGGAATAATAATATCGGGAAGTTGTTGGTGCGACCCGTCTGACGGGTCAGACCCACATGAATACATCCGCTACCAACCCACCCGCAATGGGAGCGAGCGCAGCGAGCGACCAACAGCCCAATCCACTAGTTAATATCTAATTTGTAACGGTCACAAATAAAATGAGTGAGAAATTTCTTGAGGCACAACATAGTCAATATATTTTTGGTAATGAATTAGCCATTTGCTTCCGAACGCTCCATCTACATAAAGAAAAACGCCTCGTTTTCTCGAAAAATTCTGACGGTCATACAGGCGACAGGGGAATGGTGACAGATGCATTCGCATCTCCAAATTGCCAATTCCCAGCCGCGAATAGTTCCTCGCTCAAATGACAACAATTACCGTTCCGTAAAACAAAAAAAAATTCAGACTAAAGACCCCATGACCATTCAACCCCGAGAATGAGGCCGAAAGCCCCAAGTCCATTGTCACCCGCGATTTTACCATACAACATGAGATACTACTCAACCCATCCGCCTGGAGCACTCGAAATCGTCACAATGCGAGTCAATTCTCCAGCCCACTCGCTGACTCGTGGGAAAACAAATCCACGAGTCTCGTATTCCCGGGCAACCACAGCTCAG